ACGACGACACACACACACACACACACACACACACACACACACACACACACACACACAGACGCGCANAAGGGGCAAGAGGAGAGTGTCTACCCACAGACACAGACACCGCAACAGCAACCAGTCGCAATACAGCCACAGCAACAACACCAGCACCAGCAGCCAACCACACTACAACAGCAACAGCACACACAGCCACAGCACACACAGCAACAGCAACCAGTCGCAATACAGCCACAGCAACAACACCAGCACCAGCAGCCAACCACACTACAACAGCAACAGCACACACAGCCACAGCACACACAGCAACAGCACACACAGCAACAGCAGCAGCACACACAGTCACAGCACACACAGCCACAGCAACAGCAACAGGCGCAGGCTGAGATCAATGGCACAGCGGGCACGCGCAGGGCAGCCCACAGCCTCAGGCAAAAGGACCAGGTAAGACAAGCACGTGCTTGTTGCTTATGGCTATGCCTATGCCTATGCCTGTGGCTATGCCTATGCCTGTGGCTATGCCTATGCCTATGCCTATGCCTATGCCTATGCCTATGCCTGTGCCTATGCCTATGCCTATGCCTATGCCTATGCCTATGCCTATGCCTATGCCTATGCCTATGCCTATGCCTATCCATACAGTTACACATTCACATACACATACACATATACATACCCAGACTCGTACAAATACACAAGGACACAAATGCATAGACATAAACATAGACATAGACATAGACATAGACATAACCATAGACATAGCCATAGTCATAGACATATCCATAGACATGACAGACATAGACATAGACATAGCCATAGCCATAGACATAGACCGACATAGACATAGCCTATGGGTTTGGGTATGTATATGTGTATGTGTATGTGTGTAGATGTGTGTGTGTTGTGTTTATGAGTTTGAGTGTATATGTTTAGTATATGAGTGTATGTACGTATAAGTATTTGCTTACGATTATATCTGTATGGATGGATGGATAGATAGATGGATCGATGGATATATGTAATCATATATCTATTTATCTATGTGTCTATGTATTTATGTATGTACGAACTAAGATGTAACCCATTTCAAATACATACAGGTCATGTCCGTACAAGAATATCTTTCTCACAATGTATATATACACTAATAGACCTATAGATATATTATCATATACAAACACAAACTCCTGTGCTCACATTCACACTCACGCCTACCTTGGCAGATGGAAGAGAAAGAACGTCTGCGGCAATATATCACATACTACTCTGCCACTGCCGTTAGCGGGTTCTTTCGGTCCATTTCTCTTCTGCGCGAGGGCAATTCACTTCAGGACACCCTGCGGCTTCTGACCCTTTGGTTCAAATACGGGTCACATGAGAAGGTGTGTGGTGTAACGTCTGTGTGTAGTTAGTGGCTTTGGTTCAAATACGGGTCACATGAGAAGGTGTGTGTTGTAACGTCTGTATGTAGTTAGTGGCTTTGGTTCAAATGCGGGTCATATGAGAAGGTGTGTGTTGCAACGTCTGTATGTAGTTAGTGGCTTGCTTCAAATACAGGTCACATGAGAAGGTGTGTGCTGTAAATGTTCGCTGGACACGCTGTTTCTGTATGTAGTTTCGTGGTTGGTACAATATACGTCTGTGAGCATTAGGCACAGATACCTCTTGCGTGTCTGGTTGTTCATATCCCGAGAGTGGGTGCAACATCCGTGGCCTATGGGAATAGACGGAGAGGGATCGATGGTAGGTGAACGTCTGCATGTGTAATCGCATGAGTACTCGCTCAACGGATGGGACATCCATGGCGTACTATTTACAGCGCGACACTTTGCAACTACACAACTGTAGCTAGTTGAAGGCAATATATATAAAACCCAAGCGAGAAAAGTGAGAAAACTAAGTTTAACCCATATTGGTACACCGACACACTACATACACTGCGTGTAAGGATCATTCGCATACCGAGACATGCGTGTTTGTACACATACACTCATGTATGTACACATACACTCATGTATGTACACATGCATACACATACACTCATGTAAGTACACATACGCACACATACACTCATGTATGTACACATGCACCCACATACACTCATGTATGTACACATACATACCCATACACTCATGTATGTGCACATACACACCCATACACTCATGCACGTCCTCTCTCCCACTCTCTCTCCCTCTACTCACAGGTGGGCGTCGCCATGAACGAGGGCACGCGGTCCGTTCCTATTGACACATGGCTGCAAGTGATCCCACAGTTAATCGCTCGCATTCACACACCCTCTCCACCCGTACGTGACCTGATACACAACCTGTTAACCGGCATAGGCAAGCAACACCCGCAGGCGCTGATATACCCACTGACGGTGGCCAGCAAGTCACAGAGTGTGCTACGCAAGGATGCCGCAGAGGCTATCACGTCCAAAATGCGCCAGAACTATCCCAAACTGGTCGAGCAGGTGGGGTGGGGATGTGTGTGCGTGTGTGTACGTGTGTGTGTGTGTGGAGATATGTACATATAAATGTTTCATGTGCACATGGACACATATGTATATATATGTGTGTGTATGTGTGTGTATGTGTGTGTGTGTATATATATTTATATTTATATATATATATACAGTGTGTGTCTGTATGTGTCTGTCTCTGTCTGTCTCTGTATATATATATATATATATATATACAAGTATAGGTATATATATAAGTATGTATATATGTATATATATATATGTATAAGTATAAGTATATATATAAGTATGTATATATATTTATATATATGGTTGGATGTATGTATATATATATATGTATATATATATATATATATATATGTTATTTATTGTGTCTATATCCATTTCTATTTATAAACCATGCCTAGACCACACTTGTAAGCAACGAGCTGATCCGTGTAGCCATTGTATGGCACGAGATGTGGCACGAGGGTATTGGAAGACGCATCGCGTCTGGTGGTTTGGACGAAGAAAACTTTGAAGGGCTCTACGAGACACTAGAGCCATTGCACCAGATGATTAAGACGGGTCCAGGTAAATACACACATCAGATACATAGTNTATATATNTATTATTATAGTGTATGCTATATATATATATATATTATTATTATATTATATTATATTATATATATATATTA